GTATACACACTTTAGGAAAAGAAAAATGGTACTATGTTTTTCAGCAGATGGTGTTACCCTCACACGCGGGATCCTAGAAGATGTTGTATATTACAAAAAACTCACCATCCTGCCAGCTCTTAGAGAAGAAATTGAAAATGCATGTGTAGCAATCTCAGTGATTAAGGTTACTAAGCAGCAGTTTTCTATGATAATAAATATCTGGAACCTAATGGGCACCACTTTGAGCACCTCTTGTAATTGTAGAACTTGTATGGATCTCATGATGTAACTTAGAATTGTAACTTGTATGGATCTCATGACGTCACAATAAATTTAGTATTAAAATATTTATGAAGATTTTCTTTGCCTGAAGTGTGAATATATTTTTGGTGGTGTCTCTCCCTCTCTCTCTCTCTCTCTCTCTCTCTCTCTCTCTCTATATATACACATATATATGTGTGTGTATATATATATGTGTGTGTGTATATATATATATATATATATATATATCAGAAGAATACTGTGTACACTTGATCTTAGCTAAAAGTCTGAGAAGTGATAGAAGAGTACTATGTAAATGTACTGATAAAAGTGCCAGAAATTGAAGAATGAGAAGCATGGTGCTCTATGGCTTGTGTCTTGATGTCTCCCTAAAGCCTCATGCGGTCATAGGTGGGGCTTTTCAGAGGTGGCTGGATCTAGAGTGTGTGCTGGTGGGATCAAGGGTGTGTGATTACTAAATTAGTCCACCAACTGATTGGTGGATAATAGGAAGACCCTCCCTCTATGTGAGTACTACCCTCCCTGGGCAAGTAGCCTGGACAGAATATAAGGGAGAGAAAGAAGGCTGCTAGGGTCCCTTCTTGCTTGCTAAAGCCTCTTTGATGCTTTGCTGCCTTCTGCCTGCTATGAACTGTTTCTCCTCTGCGATGCCCCTCTGCCATGCTACCTTGCCTTGAAGCCAGCCAACTATGAAATGAAATCTCTATAAATTGCAAGCTACAATAAACCTTTCCTCCTTTAACTTTTGCGTGTTAAGGTTTTTGTCTCAGCAATGAGCAAAATAACACAGTATTTTGATACTAGACACAAGTTTGAAGGAAATTCATGTGATAGTGCCTGACAAACTATTGGTAAAGTGGGCCCAGAGCTAAGTAGAAGATTCGTAAGTAGCTTCCTTTGCTACCTCAAACTTTCAGTCAGATTCCTGCTCAGCTTTGAATGTAGATGTGTTGATTACCTAAGAAGTGCTGCCTAAAACTTAGTAATCTGATATTTATTTGTCCTAAATTTACCTGACCTCTCTTACTCTCCTTCAGGAATGAAAACATCAAGATAAGAGTAACTAAAATATTTGCAGGATTCTAGGAACAGGAAACTTGAAGGCAGATAACTCCGTGATGGGACTGGTCCTCGGAATGGAAGCAATTACCCCATATAATTAGAAGCAATTACCCTACCTGAGGCTGAACCCCCCCAAGCCGAAACAATCATCTCAAAATGGAAACTGAAGTACATCCTCAAGTGATGAAGATTACCTGGAGCCAGCAAAGCCTCAAAGAACCAGACCTGATATAATAATCAACCAGACCACAGTCTAACTAAGACTGCTTAACTATACATACCTACTGCCCTCAACTCTACCATTTATTCCTTTCTCATATAACCCTGAAGCTCTTAGCCCCCTTAAATACAGGGCTTAGGACTAGTCTCCCTGCTTTCCAGTGCAGCCACACTGAACAAATAAATTGCTTTCTTGCATCACAATCCCAAATGATCAGAATTGAGCATCATGCAGGCTGCAGAACACCATCTCTCTACAAACTTTGAAGGAAGCATGAGGCAAAATAAGAGTAAAGACATTAAAGCCAGAAAGTGGGCTTTTTATTGTCTCAAAGTATCATATTGGACTCTCAAGGCAGTGGATAGCAGCAGAACCTAGTCTTTTGGGATCCCCAGAGTCTGCCCCGGCTTAGCTCTGGTAACAGGTATAGGCTGAACATACCCTTGGGAGACATTCTTCCTGGACTCAAATCTTGGGAAGATTCTTTGACAAAAGCTGCTAGGGTATATGGGAATGTCTAAAGCAGAAAAGATGATAACTTTCACTACTAATAAAATAATTATAAGACTCCTTCCTCTCACTTTCTCTTCCAAAGTAATTTAGTACATCTTTCTGGCCTGATCATGAGAATTTAGCTATGATTATGAGACAAAAACAATCTTGCTGGCCTTCAAGTGATCCCCTCCTCCACACAAAAGATGAAATGGGTGTGACTTTGCATAGCTGCTTTTCATGGTCCTTTGCTAAATTTTTGATTGTGTAATTTCCCCATTGCCAGATGATTATGCATGGAAGGCTGATTCAGAAGCCATTGTCTGTTTTGAAATGAACCCCTAGAGTGCACTAATGGAATTTTATGCCATTAATGCTGAATTGAGTGGGATGAAAAATCACATTCTGATCTGTCTGCTCCTTGGTCTCAATGCTCAATGAGAGTAGCTACCAAAAAGGATTCACTGTTATTCTGGCCCCTTCCATCCTCCCACTAAGTCTCTGCGGAGAATTAACAGGAACTTACCTCTTCCATCTTTTCACTTTTTCTGCTTACTTTGAAGATAACAACTCACATGTTCTAGTTTGTTAGGATGGTTGAGTCATCTGTCACTCTGCAATTCACTTTAGAATAAAGATTTAGTACCAGGGAAAATCAGCTTTGTAGATTCAGCTCTATATAAAATTCTTTAGGAAGGCTTTTGTTTGCAGATTTACCTTCTCTGGCCCTTCCAACTTCTAAGAACCCAACTGTTTTTGTGCTCTATGTAGGAGAGGAAAGGTGAACTAACTCAGCTGAGCTGTTTACACTTTTGTCTTGCTCCATTATAAATCACCTTCCAACTCAATCCTGCAAGAACAAAATCTGAGAAAGGCTGCACTTGTAGGACTGGGTCTGGATGCCCCTTTCCCTGTAGGACAGCTTTTCAGCTGCATCTTTGTAACTTAGGGATGAAGTGGTTCCTTTCTTTCTTCTTACTGAAACCTGACTCTAGAGTTGAAGAGCTTTTGCTTTCATTGTGTTCATTCCTTTGCCATGAAACAATTCTGCTGCTCTAAAAACCTTCATAAAAATTGAGTCTGCCTATATCATTTTTCCTCCCTGGGGGTGGGAAAAACTCTGCGTGAATGTGTGCGTGCATGTGTGTGCACACGTGTGTACGTGCCAGGGCTCCACACTCTTATTCATAACCATTTGTAAAAATTAACAATTTATTGGGGTCAGAGAGGAGTGGTGAAGTGCAGTAGCAGAGGAATCATCACAATTGAGGATTTTAGAGATAAAGAAATGAGAAACTTTGAGAAATGCTCAGACATGAAGAGTTGAGGATAAATTAAATGTCTGCTACTTCTGCTTAAAGAAAAGACTAGAGGAGATGCTGCTTCACTAACACAACAGCCATCTCTCTCCCTCAGCTTCCCAGATCCTACTTCTAACAGCCACCCAGCCAGCCACACTGAGCAGAACTCATTTCCCGCTTTCTCCTGTGTGCTGCAGAAGGCAAGGGGCTCCACTAACTGTGAGGGCACATCCGGCCTGCAGCCAGCCTTTAAAAATAGTTTTGTCTTTTATTCATTTACTTTTTAAATGGAGAGGAATTTATCTTGGGCTACACATAAAAATATAATATAGCTAGTGTATATAAGTAAAACTTTTCCTTTTTAAAATACTTTTATTGTAATATTAAACAGAAAACAAAAACAAAGATGAGCCACAGGTTGGATGCACCTGCGAGGTATCTGAGAAATGATTCTGAGATGTAAGGACTGCTGTTACTAGGAATCTGTAGACAAAGAAACTGAAGCTCAAAGAGGGAAGTGACTTTGACAGTGTTGCACATCCACTAAATGGAAGAGAACTTTAAAATGCAAGTGCTGTGTGATCCATACCCTTTAAGGTGTGGTACAGTGAAAGTAGCTGCAATGAACTTGATGTCATGCTTTTAAAATTAAAGTAAGTTTAAATTTTTAAAATTTTTATTAGTACATGCTTACGTTATAATTACCTTACTTGTGGGGAGCTAGTACATGTGCATGACACATCCTGATTCTTTTATCTCCTGCCCATTCTCATTTTCCCCCTCCCCTCAACTCTTGGCCACTTTTCTTTGTGCAAAAGATCTATCTCCCTGTTTCCTATCATTGTTTTCCTTTCATTTATTTATGTTTTAGATTTCTCATATAAGAGAAACTATACAATATTTAAGTTTCTGTGTCTGATTTATTTCACTTAACATTATGGTCTCAAGGTGCATCCGTTTTCCTAGAAAAGACTCAAGTTTATCCTTCTTTATGACAGAGTAATACTCTATTGTTTATAAATAGCACAACTTTATATGCAAAATGGAAAATGTGATGAAGAGAAAAATTTTAATTTTATACATTTAACAAATGTTAATTCATGATCTTTAATTATAGACTTTATACATGCAACTATTTTTTTCAGTTTTGTGAAATAATAGTAATAATTAAGCACTCAAATGTATAGGAAATGATCCATGTTCAGGAGGAATTTGAAACAGTACTAATACTAAGATGGTGGTATTTTAGGGTAGAAAAGTTGTTGATAAATTCTGACAGTAAGTAGAAATAAAAATTTTCTCCCTCCTTTATATGTTTTTCCATGTTTAGAGAATGGTAAAAAAAAAGCAATGGAGTTGGTGCCTATAATAATTAAATTTCAGAAATACGCACATCCACAGAGTGAAAATGAAAACCTGATTTAGAAATAATACCCTTATAAAATATAGAACTAAATCTATTCTGTAATCACCATCTGAAATGGGCATTTCCATCTTCCAGGGCAAAGTTATTCTGCAGGCCAGGCTTGGGGAGTCGACTCTGGTCTTTACCAGGAAAGTGCATCCTGCTTGCTTTTCCCTTCCTCTGGAGAACTGCTCAGATGAGTTGGCTTCCTGATGGCTCTGTGTCTCTGGAAGGCAGGTTGTTGGAGACATTCTTCCTCACTCAGTGACCTGCTCCTGTAGCACCATCTGTGGGAAGCATATGTATACCTGGTAATTGGAAGGATTCTGGGCACATTAGGATAATTTCATGGCAGTGCAGCACAATCTGGAAATGCTTCCACAAACATCTTCTTGCAGAGTTTATAAGTGGTCAGATGAGTATTTTCATGTCAGAAATAAATGTATGAATGCTGTGCCCCCCCTCATTCCATCTCACCTCTGTCAAGCCATATTATCATATTATAGAGGGTGTGAGTGCGTGTGTGCATGTGAGTGTGTGTGTGTGTGTGTGTGTATATATATATATATATATATGAGTGTGTGTGAATTTGCATATACAGTTTCATGTGAATATATATAGCTATGCCTAGGGAAAAAATGAAAGAAAGAAGACTAATACTAAAATAGATGCTTTAAATCTTTGAAATGGTGAGCTTTCTACTCTACCAGAAAGCAGGGCAGGCTGATCCACTGGTAATCACTCTGTAGATTTGAAATAATCTGTTTTGGTGATAGGAGTGAAGGAGGGCAAGGCTTCATTTCAAACAAATGAGGGTGAAGCTTTGATTTTTCCCAAACACAGCACCTGCTACCACTCCTCCTTAAAAGTCCTGCTTTCAATCCTTTTGTGCCTAAGCCATAAAAATGACAACATCTAGGTATGTAGTGGGCAGGTTGCCCACAGAGCCATTGCTCAGAAGGGAATCTAACCTTGAAGTGTGGTTTTGAACTCACTGGTACCCAGAATAAAAGTGAAGAAATGGAGGCTGGTGTTCAGGGAGGAGGTAGGAACTAAGAAGTGGTGAGGACTGAGGCCAAATTCTGGAAACTTTAGCATTAAGGAATAGGCAAAGGAAAAGAAACCTTGAAGAAAACTGAAAAAGATCTTTTCAGAGGTGGAAAGTAATGAGGAGAAACCAAGGAGTAATAGAGATTTTCAAGGAAGTGCACTGGTAAGATCAAATATATTTTTTTATTTTCTGAAAAATAAATAGAAATATTATTGCCAACTTTTGGTCCCCAAACTGGGTCTTTTTTCCTCTTGAAATCCTGGAACCAGTAAGTGATACTGAACTTTGAACAGTGAAGAAAGTTACTCTTTATTTTTTCCTCTCCAGAACTGGGGACCAAACCCAAAGCCACTCTACCACTGAGCTACATACCCTGCTCTTTTTATTTTATTTTGTTTTGTTTTGTTTTTTGATACCAGGGATCGAACTCAGGTCCTTGGGCTTGCGCAGCAGGTGGTGAAACCACTGAGCTAAATCCCCGGCTCTCTTTTTATTTTATTTTGAATGAGGATTTCACTAAATTACCCAGGTTGGCATCAAACTTGTGATTTTCCTGTATCAGCCTCCTGAGTAACTGGGATTACAAGTGTGCATCATAGCACCTGGCTAAACAAACATTGATCTCTGGACAAAATAGGAAAATTGGGAGACGGGTTTACAAATCAACTGCTTGATCTTTGGGGGCTTGGGAAGTTATACATATAGGACAAAGGAAATGAGGGGTGTGGGGCAGCCTAATAAAGGGAAGGGATACTAGGGTACTTCCCAGGAATGGACTGAGATTTTCCAGGAATTCAGGTGTCATCTCTTTTTGCTCCTTTTAATGTTCTTTTTAGTCATTATCTTGGCATTGTCCAGTGTCATGGTGCTGGGGTGATGTCACTTAGCATACAGATGGGATTATAACAAAGTTAAAAGTTGTCTGGAGGTCAGTCTGGCAATTGTTTTAGATAAAACTAGTTCTGGTGAGCACACCTGAAAGACAGGCAACCTGTTCTTAAAGATAAAGAAGATTAGGGTGGGTGGAAGTTCAGTGAGGCCACCTAAACAGTGCACCAGACAGCAGTATTTTAGAGAAAATGTGAACAGAGCTGCTAATATTACTAATATTATTTGAATATCCACTGAATACCAAACTGACCTAATCATTTCACATATGTATTGAAACATGAAAACATTCCTTGGGTTTGGATTTTATGGATGACAATATAAGATTTATGAATCTTTCACTTTGCTTTAGTACTTCTAAGTTTTAATTGAAAAACAAAGTTTATATATATATATCTGTGTAACATGAGCCTTTAAAATATGTATATATTTTAATGAATAAAATGAGTTAATTAACAAATGTATTTCCTCACATTCTTACCATCTTTCTGTAGTGAGAACACTTAACATCTGCATTCTTTTGAGGATATAATACATTGTAACCATTATGTTTAGTAAATGTTAAGCTTTGTATTTAATCTAATTAGAACTAAGACCTAATGCAAAATTTTCTATACTTTTATCCACATCTCCTCAATTTCCCCGTATTAGTCATTTTTCATCACTGGAACAAAATACCTAATACCCATAAATTTAAGGAGGAAAGATTTATTAGGCTCATAGTTTCAGAGGACTCAGTCCATAGTTGGCTAACTCTAAGGCAGAATTGGCATGGTGGAAGGACTTGGGGGAACAGAGGAGGAAAGCTTGCCAGCCAAGGCAGCCAAGAAACAGATTTATGGGGTACCATGTGATGTTTCTATACACTTATACATTATATAATGTTGAAACCAGGGTAGACAAATTTACTTTCTCAAACATTTATCATTTATTTGTGCTAGAGGCATTCAAAATAATTTTTTCTAGCTTACTGGAAATATATAGAGCAGTGGTAGTGAACCTATGGTACACTTGTTATTTGTTTTACTTTTAAAACAAAGATGTTAAATATGAGTTATGTTTTCTAAACTAAAAACTCAGTATTCAGGTTTATTTTCCATGTGGGCACTTTGCAATAAGTAAGTGAGTTTTGAGTTGGGGCTTGGCCACTTGTCTCTAAGAGCTTTGTCATCGCTGATACAGTGCATTATTATTTATAGTCAGGTTACTGTGTGTGCCATAACACAGGACAAAGTCTTATTCCTACCTAACTGTAACCCAGTACTCACTGACTAATCTTTCCCCATCCCTCAAATGCACTTTCTCAGGAATCACAGATTTTAATCTTTACAGTGCCAGTTATGTTCACAGTGACCTGGAACTGTGACATGTACAACTTAAGCACTGAATCTTTCTGGGATTTAGTTTTCTCATACATAACATAAATCAGAAGATTTGCAAAATCTAGTCTCTAGCCAATTCCATGTCCTCTGATTGTGGGAAGTACCCTTGCGTGCTTGAGAGAGTAATATGTTCTAAGGTTAATGGCATGACTTTTGGAGTTTATCAATCAAGGCTCCAATCTGGTCTCCACTGTATTTGTTTGCTTTATCGAGGGACTTCATAAAGATCATTCAACTTTTCTGCACTTTATTTTTCTCATATATAAACAAAGACAAAAATAGCTCCTATGTTTAAGGCAATTATAAGAATTAAATTACATAGACCAATGCTTATAAAGACTTTAGCATAGATATTGATACATAGTAAATACTCAATAATTACTTTGTACTTATTTGTTGTGATATTGTGCTGTTAGGAACACTGATACCTTTAAATTTCTGTTTCACAATCAAGACTCAGAAGGAAAGTAGTCCAGAAGAATTCTTCCAGACTGTGCTTGATCGAGCAATTAAAACTACATTTTTAAAAGTGCTTCCTTAACAGCCAGGAGTCAGTAAAGATTTCAAACATCAAACTTCTGTGCCATGGCCTTTATCTTCCTATCCTTGTTTATATTGGGGGACTATGTTAATCTTACTTCAAATAGAAAGAGGAAAGGGGTGGTAAGGGCCCCTGTGTTACATTAAAACACTGCATTAATGTTAGTGTTGGCACTTCAGTCCAGACTGGTATTCATGATGATGTTTGTGAAGCTGATCCACGGTCAACAGAGACTAAAACTACCCAATGCCACAGCAAGACTGTTCTTTATTCAATTAAACTAAGAATTGTCATCAAATGTGTGTTCCAGCCATGGTTACTAGTATGAAGTTTAAGCACCTGTAATATGACAAAAATTCTTATAATAAATGCACATTTACAAATATATGCATGTGTAAGACACTATCTGCCAAATCACCCAACTTTGTGAAAGAGTTTAATGTACGTGCAATTTAAGGAGTGTTTTTTCAAATTTCTGTGTCCCATGATTCTCTCACATTTAACTCTAAATCAAAATAAAAACACTGTACCTGTAGTTGATGTCAGTTGAGCTACAAGGCTTCCTGAGGAGCAGGTAATTTGGTCCAGTACAGGCAATCTTAAGGACCATGCCACATATACCTATTTTATTTGAGTTTAAAAAATTTTTTCCTCTTCTTAATTTGAAATGGTGCCCCAGAGCAAATTTAGAGTTGTGGCTGTCAAATTTGGCTGCACAGTAGAATTATCTGGGGAGGTTTTAAATCCCAATTCCCAGTCCACACCATACAATAATTAAATGAAAGATAGTGGGGCTCAGACTGAAGTGTAATATCTTCTAAGGCTCCCAGGTGGCACTAATATGCAGCCAGGCTGGAGAAACAAGGCTCTAGAACCTTGCTGCTCAATCTTGCCAACATTTGATTCATGAATTTTTATATAAAAAGATATAAGTGAAGCTGCGGCGACCAGCCAGGTGAGACAAGACAAGCAGCTTGCAGCTCCTGCAGCTGTCTCGGGCCACGCCCATGGCACAGTGAGGTCACAGAGGCATCTTGCAACCCCACCCCCACCCGACACTCTCTAAGATGAAGCGACCAGCCAGGCCTCCTTCCTTCCTGCCCCTCCCAGCCCAGACATAGGGGCTTCTGAGCCGACTCCCCACTGCTCCTGGTCCAGAGGAAGGGGCTTCCTGGTCACCATCCCTACCGCCACTCCCAGCCCCTGCCTGTCCCACCTCTTCCAGCTCAGAGGAGGTGATTTGCGCTGGTGCCAACAGCACCCCTCCACTCCCCCAGTCGAAATGAGAAAACACATAAATAAGTCTCAAAACCAGACTTCCAGATCTCCTACAGCAACCCCAAAAGGAAATGAGATGGAATACTCAGATACTCAACCACCTGGACCCACTGAACTGGAAACAAAAGGGGATCTGGAAAA